CCCCCCCCCCCCATAAAATTCTCTTCTCTGTTAGCTCTCCATCTCTTTTATAAAGGAAAATTTGGTGGTTACCTGATAAAGTGCAAAGGAGTTGGTCTCGGCTGTGACATGAGATTGAGGTGAAGAAATATGTGAGAGTATATGCTAGTGACGTGAGGGAGTGGGAGTCATGGAGTTAGTGTTTGGGTGAGTGAAATGGGACTACTATATTTTGTTTATTGTACTCATTACTCAATTTTTATTTATATGTGATTGAAAAATATGCAAAACATGGTGCTACTATATGTTATCATAGTCTTTGTTCTTCTTGACGAACGATCAAAGTTTAGTTTCTATCTAATTATTAATCTCTTTTTATGTGTAGGAGAAAGTGGGTGACGCAATTGGAAATGGTGGCGAAAAGTCAATTTGATCGTAATGTGAATGTGATTTTTTTTGGATAATTAAGATTCTTATATTCATGATACTATATGAATATACTCACTTTTGAAAAGTTTATTTTTAATGGGCATTTTTGACACATTGTTTTATTAGTATGTGTATTCTTTTGAATTATTATTTTTGGTATTCATTAGCTAGTTTAGTTCTTTATATCATCAAAATATATGATAATAATGCATGTGCTTGAAATAATTGTAATTACATTATATGTAAACTATAAATTTTTAAATTTTATAGCCTAGCCAAAATTGCCACGCTTTAAAAGTGTGGCCATTTGTCTGTATGTCTAGCATGTATATAATCAAAGACCACGCTTTCTAAGTGTTCCTTTAAAAGCCACGGTTAACAAGTGTGGCCTAAAAGGTAACAAAGGCCACGCTTTTTGTGTGTAGCTGTAGGGTATAAAAGCGTTGCCCTATGGGGTGTGTCTTTGTTGACTAATAGGCCACGTTTCTAAGCGTGGCTTGTAAGATAACATTTGAAAAGCGTGCCCTTAGGTTAAAGGTTACGCTTCTTTTGGGCACCCCAGAAAAGCGTGGCCTAGAGTAGCAAAAAGTGTGGCCTTTGGCCCAGAAAAGCGTTGCCTAAAGTCGAAAAGTGTAGCCTTTGACCAAAGGCCACACTTTTTGCTACTCTAGGCCACACTTTTCCGGTGTAGTCAAAGGCCTAAAATGTTGTAGTGTGCTGGATCAAAACGAACAAAAAGAACCAAAAGATCGTGACGCTATCCCCCTTGTGATCCTCATTTTCCCCAAGTCGGATCTCAGATGTTACTTTCTTACAAAATTAGGTTGTTTTCTTTCCATTTTTAAGAAAACGAAAAACATAGAATCTCAAGTTAAAAAGTTTGCTATTTTGAAGAGAAAAGATATGCGACAAACACCGCCTGTAGAAAGATTCTGGGTTCCACTCAGAATGTTTAAGAAACGAAGATTACCATTCCTGAAGAGAGCGTCCAATGATCAACCCTTTACATTAGAATTTGTGTGAGAGAAGGAATAATTATTGGCGACGAATGTTTACAACAATTGCACAAACACTAACATCGACTGAGATTGGAGGCTATTAACAAGTTACAGAATAATCTGAATTTCCGCAATGAGAATGTTGTGCGAACGTAGGGAGGAAAACACTCCGATCAGACTTGAGAAACTTGGGACTTCGTCAATGGCTGCTCCTCTACACAAAATTAGCTATACAAAATTGTTCTTCGAGTGAAGGGGTACTGCACTTGCAGAACAAATTACAGAATTGATGTCTCCAGGAATTAGAAGCAATTTCACTTGCAAGATTTTCATCCTACACTTGTCAATGCAGAGGCAGGGATTCCATGCTTTTGAAACCATTCTGGCATATGAAATCTTTCGTAGAGCACGGGCCGCACATCTTTCTGCTGGGAGAGATGCTTGAGAAGTGGAAGGATAACCTCCAAAAGCTGATACAGAATATAAAACTCTTGTTAAAGTCATGGGAGCATAGTAGCTAAATTTGAGGAATAGCTTTCATACATGTTTTTCTTATGTATTAGACCTGTATGTCATGCGGTTGTCCAGCAGCAAACGGAATGCACGGAATTCCATTTAGAGGTTGTAACAAGAAACTAAATGGATTGTTATCAACAATGACAATTCGGCTTAGATCCTTTGATATGCAAGATAAATCCTTCACATGTTCCCGATATTCCCTGAGATGCAAGCAAAGCGTCAAACTCACAATAATAAGCTGAAAGAAATTTTATAGAAAGAGAAGTGCTTTGATTTAGTGGAATAGTTGTGTTGCAATGAGCTGAGTTTGCAGGGACACAGAAACCAAAAAGATATGTTGATGCCACAAATTCATGGAACCTATGACTCAATGTCATAGTATTTGATTATGAACCATTAGGTGAGGCAAATTCATTATCTTTTTTGATAGGAATGTGCCGCAAATTCATTATCTAACGCAAGTAATCAATTTCTCAAGTAATAACAATCTTTCTTTATCTTTGGAAGTCGAAAGAACTCAGTTCATCATTTTCATGAGAGGGAGAAGCTTAAGAATACAAAAACTTTTGAGGCGTAAGCCTGGTATCAGTATCATTTAGGTAACTTTCTTTTATTCCTGATAGGTAGTATCATGTAGAGAATGTACAGTTCGTACTGAAATCAGGTCCTTTTATGAAATAATCCAACAGGGTTGAATTAATATAGAGCAGATATTGATACAAATGATGCATCAATGGAAATTTAGCCATCTAAGCATGAACAAGCATTGAGCACCAAAATATCTCAGAATAGAGACATGATTTGTATCCCAACATACTAAAGGTGTCTTTGCAAACCAGACGCCCATCACAATTCCTGGTCTCGAGATTTAGTACATTCATAAGCTAGTCAAGAGTCCGTTCGGGAACATTCGATAAAAAACTAGCTAGTAAAGAGCCAGTACTAAGGTTAGATTACATCGATTTTCACCAGCAGAAAGTTCAGTGGATCTGGTAATAAACAGTGGATCAGAAAATGGACATAAGAGATGAGCTATGAGGCTCGAGAAACTTTTGGAAAGAGACATTGACATAGATCTACCATATTTTCAACACATTAACGGTTTAATTTGCAAAATTATCAAACACAGCCCAAACACCAAATATGTGACAATCTGAGCTGAAAGAATGACCCTCAAGGTACTATATGACCGATAGATGCATAGAGTTACTGCTAGATATAGATTCATAGTGTGCATGCAAGACATGCAATGAATGGAAATCTACACAATCAGGCTTGCTTATCATAAAGTTATTGACAATCCTAATAGCAATTATAGTAGTATCAGCTGAGTTTCCCAGAAAGAGATTGAGCTAAGAAATATAGTCATTCAGAGCTATATTACAGTCAGAGGATGAATCATGAAATGCTCCGTGAAGGGCTCTGAATAGGGCTAGAAAGACAAAGTGAATCACTTTGACTTACAAGTCAATCAGACAACGACAAGAGACTTCACCTTCTATTGCTTCAAAACGTTTGGTTTATGTTGGCCCAAGTAAAGGTGAAGTTTTGAAGACTGACAAAGGAACTCAGATATGGACCAGGTCCATCTTGTGAAGCACAGTTATGATCAACTCAAACATGTGAGATGCACGTGAAGGAGATAAACCTAACATATCAGAAATGTTATCTACTGATCATGATCGAAAACGTTGCATATTGGATAAGGAGAAAGACTCCTTACACAAAGAGAACACGATTTAGGAAAAGGATAGAGTTAGAGTATGAGATCAACTAGAACTCTTCCACCATGGAAGAGTAGCGTCTGTATCCTAGTCAATCTCTAATTGCTAACTCCTTAAATATTAGTTTTGTTCTCTTTTACAGGTAATGCACATAAGCAGAAGTTAAACGTGAATTGAGAGCAAAATAGCAGGGCAATTTTGCAAGCAATTTATGTGTGATTCAAGCGTGCAATCCTGAAGCTACTTGAACCCGATAGAAGAACCAGTTCCAAGTGTCTGTCTTTTATTCTAGTTCAATTGTAGTAGGTGATTTTACATTGTACCTTTCAGCTTATTTAGAAGCAATCGTATTAGGTACTTAGAGTTTTCAAGTTAGAGTTAACTTGAAGTTGTCGCAACAGTTGAGGTTGTGTGCCACAACGGGATTAGAGTTAATCCTAGGTTTACAAAAGAGTTTTTGTAAATGCAGTTTTTGGCTCAGTGATTTTAGTGGAGAGTTTGGGAAAATCCTACTGGAAGGTAGGTCGTGGTTTTTTCACCCTTTGAGCCAGGTGTTTTCCACGTAAAATCTCTGTGTTCTTTATTTTCTATAGTTATTATTCCGCGACAGTAGTAGTTAGAACACATAAAAGAACCAGCTTCTTCTATTATCAAGTTAAGCGAAAATTGGGTACCACACAAATCACCCCCCCTTCTTGTGTGGTACTGACGTATAAAACATCAATTGGTATCAAAGCGGGTTATCCTTGAAGAGGCTAACACCTTAGGAACAGATCAACATGAGTGCACCACCTGTAAACTGGGAAGGACAATCCACTGCTAGGCCTCCACTCTTTAATGGCCAGTACTATTCCTGGTGGAAGAACAGGATGAGAGACCACATCATAGGAGAAGACTATGAACTTTGGGATATTGTTACTGATTGTCCCCTAGCTACTACAAAGAAGAATGCTGAAGGAGTGGACGTGCCAAAGACGAGAGCTGACTGTACTGCTGAAGACTTGAAGAAATGGGAAAAGAATGCCAAGGCCAAGAAATGGCTTGTGTGTGGACTAGGTCCAGACGAGTACAGCAAAATTCAAAATTGTCCTACTGCCAAAGAAATCTGGGACACTCTACAAGTGGCCCATGAAGAAACTCAAGTAAAGAGATCAAGAGGAACACTGCTGTATTCTGGGAAAAGAATGTCAAGGCCAAGAAATGGCTTGTGTGTGGACTAGGTCCAGACGAGTACAGCAAAATTCAAAACTGTACTACGGCCAAAGAAATCTGGGACACTCTACAAGTGACCCATGAAGGAACTCCTCAAGTAAAGAGATCAAGAGGAACACTGCTGTATTCTCAATATGAGAACTTCACCATGAAGGAAGGAGAAACCATTCAAGAAATGTACACAAGGTTCACAACACTAACAAATGAACTTAAGTCTCTTGGAAGAATTATCCTTGAAGAAGACAAGGTTGAGAAAATCTTGACAAAGGTCTTGCCAGTAACTTGGGAAAGCAAAATCACTGCTATTCAGGAATCAAAGAACATTGCTACTCTCAAGTTGGATGAGCTGATTGGAATCTCACTGCCTATGAACTGACAAGGCAAACCATGAAGATGGATGCACCCAAGAAGGAAAGAAGCCTGGCTCTCAGAATAGCTGAAGATGCAGACTAGAGGATGATGAAATGGCAATGATCACAAGGGATTTCAAGAAGTACCTAATGAGAGGAAAGGGTTCTTCAAGAGGTGCAACCTTCAACAAAACAAGGGCTCCTGAAAAACAGACCAACGAGGGCTGCTACAAATGTGGTAAGACTGACCACATGATCAAGAATTGCCCTCAGTGGGAAATTGAATGGAAGAAAGAAAGAGCTGAACGAAAAAACAGGAAGAAGGAACAGGTTCAACCCAGGAAGAACAAAGGATCAACAAAGGCTATGGTTGCTGCTTGGGGAGAAAGTTCAGATGAGGATTCAGAAGATGAAGCTGGAGATGAACAAGCACTTACGGCCATTGAGAATCAAATGATGAACAAGAGGTTCAAGTGAAGGGAAGTAGCCAAATATGGTACATGGATAGTGGCTGCTCAAAGCATATGACTGGAAGTAAGAACCAGTTCCTTTCACTTGAGGACCTAAAGGAGGTGATGTCTCCTTTGGAAATGGGAAGAAAGGTGACATTATTGGGGTTGGAAAGGTAGGTAAGACATTCGATGGGTCATGCCTGGAAGAATCCGGGAAGTTCTAGCTAGCTGGAAAAGAGATGGTGAACAATCCAGTCAGAAAGAGAGATGGAAGATTGTCCCTGCTTGTATATGGTGGACAATTTGGAAGGAAAGGAATCAAAGATGTTTTGAAGACAGCCATAGTCCTATACAAAAGCTGAAGATGAGCTGTCTAGTGCTCTATTTTTTTTTTTTGGTGTAAACAGGAGTATTTAGAAGAATGTGAAAGTATTTTTGAAGTTTTAGACTTTTTATGAGATTCAACAGAGAACTAGACTAGAATAGAACAAGAATCTTTTCTGTACTCCCTCTTGTAATTATGGATGGATACACTGGTTTAATGTATGCCACCTTTTATATTAATACAAACATGTACCTTTTCAAAAAAAAAAAGGTAGGTAAGACAGACTCACATTCCATTGAGAATGTCTACTTGATAGATGGCTTGAAATATAGCCTAATCAGAGTATCACAACTGTGTCACAGAGGTAACCTGGTAGCATTCACCTCTACCAAATGTTTTGTGATTAATCTTACCACTGAAAAAATTGTTTTGCAGGGAAAAAGAGTTAACAATATTTAAATTGTAGATCTGTCCACTCTTTCAGAAAACGAACTTACTTGCTTAAGTGTGTTGGACAATGATCCCCTCCTATGGCACAAAAGACTTGGTCATGCAAGTCTAAATCAACTCAACAAATTAGTCTCCAAGGACCTGGTGATAGGGTTACCTAACATCAAGTTCAAGGAAGACAAAGTTTGTGAGGCTTGTGCAAGGGGGAAGCAGGTAAGATCCTCTTCTAAAAGCAAGAAAGTGGTAAGCACGACCAGGTCAATGGAACTGGTTCATATGGATCTCTATAGTCCAATGAGAACATTGAGCAGAGGTGGTAAGAAATATGTGATGGTACTTGTTGATGATTTCTCTAGGTTTACTTGGGTATTATTTTTAACATCTAAGGATGAAGCATTTAACATTTTACTGCCTTTGTTAGAAAAACTCAGAAACAACTAGGTAATCAACTTGCATCAATTAGGTCTGATCATGGAATGAAAATGCGAAGTTTGCTGAATTTTGTGATGAGCATGGTATAGATCATAATTTCTCCGCCCCTAGGACTCCTCAACAAAATGGAGTACTTGAAAGAAAGAATATGACTCTTGAAAATAGGTGCATGACTAGACCTCTTGTAGAGAAGACTCCCTATGAGTTACTTAAAGGGAGAAAACCAAATATATCCCATCTTAGGGCATTTGGATGCAAGTGCTTTGTGCACAATAATGGAAAGGACTCCCTAGGTAAGTTTGATCCCAGAAGTGATGAGGGAGTATTCTTGGGATATTCTTCACATAGCAAAGCTTATAAAGTGTACAAAAAAAAAACTTTGTGTGTAGAAGAAAGTGTACATGTAGTTTTTGATGAAACTAACATTCTTTTTGAGAGACAGGAACATGAAGATGAAGCTATTAGGCTGGTAAAAGAATTGAGTGAAGCTGCACCAAAAGAAGGAACAGGTGATGGAACAGGTTCTTCCATCCAGGGCAACCTGACAGGGGGAACTGAACAAAGAAGAAGTGAATCAAATTTCCAAATGGAACCTGTCCATGAGCCTGTTCCTCAGCAACAGAACATGGGAGAAACTCCAAACAGAAATCAGTTGGTTGTGAAACCTTACAAGTATCAAAGTTCTCATCCCATTGAGAACATCCTTACTGACCCAACTTCCGAAGTTAAAACCAGATCTCAATTAAAGAATCTATGTGCTTTTGATGCATTCTTATCTCTTATTGAACCTAAAAATGTTGATGAAGCTTTGCAGGATGCAAACTGGGTGAATGCAATGCAAGATGAACTCAATCAGTTTGAAAGAAGTCAAGTTTTGCATCTGGTTCCAAGACCCAAGGACAGATCAATAATTGGCACTAAATGGGTCTTCAGAAA